CTCCATGTCAAGGCTCCTGGCTCCAAACTGGTGGAGGAAACCAGCTTGGAGGGAGAGGGAAGGTGGAGCCCACCAGGATGGTGCTCTTCCTCTACCCAGACGGGACAGGGGTGCTCTGGACCAGTCCCTGGCTGTTCCAGTGCTCTAAAGAGGCGGGGTTTGCCCCCACAGCATCTTCAGTGCTTACGCTACTTTTTTGCCCATCTTACAATCATAGAATGGTTTGGATTGGAAGGGACCTTAAGAATCACCTATTTCTAACCCCCCCACCATGGGCAGGGACACCTACCACTACACCAGGTTTAACCTGTCCAGTCTTGCTTGCTGGTGTGCACAGGAGGACAGTCTGTGGGGCCAGAGGCTGAGCCTTCTCCCTGCACTATCAGAAACAACTCAGCAGTGCCTCGGGAAGCCCACCTTAACTTTGGGGCCAAGCTCCTTGCCTCTGAGCAGTGGCATCAGGCAGTGTAGCTCCTTTCCATCTTGGGCTTGGGAAGGGGGAGAAGCTCATTTCCATGTTGCTGATGCCCATCTTGGGCAGCAGATGGCTTGGCTGGAGCTGTGGTTTGTAGCCCCTCTCATGCTTCTCCTCTCTCTCTGTAGAGCCCTACGAAGGTGTCTTGCAAAGGGGTTGGCCTGCACAAGTTCCCAAAGGAGCTCAGCCAGGGAGTTAAGTACCTCGAGCTCTCCAACAACTTCATCCAAAACCTGTCGAGGAGCCACATGCCAAGGTTTGGGCAACTTGAGTATCTGGACCTGTGCTTCAACCAGCTGGAAGCCGTGTCAGACACGACCCTGGCTCAGCTGCCCCAGCTGCGCACTCTTCTCCTGGGATCAAACCACCTGGACCGCAATTATGTCGCTAACGGGCGAGCCTTTCACTTGCTGAGGAATATAGAGGTCTTGGACCTGTCAGCAAATAACCTGGAGAGCCACATGGCAGGCTGGTACATCAGCAACCTCACCAGGCTGAGGGTGCTGGACCTCTCCGGGAACAAGATGACCACGCTGCCAGCGGGGATCTTCTGGAGCACCCCACGGCTGCGTGAGCTCGACCTCAGCAACAACTACATCACAGAAATCGAAGAGGGAGCTTTTGAGGCTCTGCAAGAGCTGGAGGTGGTGAACTTGGCCTTGAATTCCCTCCACTGCATCTCTGGCTTCAGCCTCATGCAGCTGCGAGTTTTAAATCTCAGCCACAACGCCCTGGAGCTCTTTGTCTCAGAGGAGGGAGCGGAACCCTATCTGCTTCAAGTGCTCGACTTGAGCCATAACAGACTCCTCTATTTCCCCGAGCTCCCCAAAGCCCATTATCTCACACACTTAAACCTCTCCAACAACCTTATTGCTTCCCTGCTCCCAGGCTCACACCATCCGGGGGAGTTTGTTCTTCGCTACGAGGAGATGGCGAGGTTTAATAGGACGTTGTGTACGCCAGCTGGTCTGACGCATGTAGCTGACTTGGATCTCAGCAATAACCGGCTGCAGCTGCTCCCATTTTCCTTCCTCCGCAGCCTGGGCTCCCTACACAGGCTCAGCCTGGCTAGGAACTGTCTCCAGGAGGTAGCCGAGGAGTTGCCCACCAGTAGCACCGAGTCCAGCAACCACTCTCCCATGCCACTGGAGCGTGCCACCCTCTCCGTGCACTCACTGGACCTCCACGGCAATGCTCTCTCTGTGCTGCCACACTGGTTTTTCGATCCTCTGCCTCAGCTGGAAATTATTGACCTGGGCTCAAACAGCCTCCAGCCTTGTGGGAGCCAGGATAGCGATCCAGGAGGGAATCTGGGAGGGGGCTCTCATGTGTCAGCCCCAGGAGGCACCTGCACCCCCTTCTACAACATCCCTCAGTTGAAGCATCTGAGTCTTTGCCAGAACAACATTACCAGGCTGTACCCCTACAGCTTCAACCAGACCTCGCTGCTCTCCCTAGACCTATCAGGGAACAAGGACTTGTTTGTGCCTAAGGAGGCCCTGGGGGGGTTGGAGTCCTCCCTGCAGAGACTTTCTCTGAGGGGCAACCAGATGGACAACAGCAAGGCAGAGCTGCCCTGCCTGGACATGCTCAAAGTCTTGGACCTCTCAGGCAATAATTTGAGCCTTTTGCCCACAGGTCTTTTCTGCTCCCCACTGGAAAGCTTGGACATTCGCAGTAACAAACTGCTGACATTGGAAAAGCTCATGAGCTTGTCCCGCAGCCTGAGGGACGTGTCCATTGCTGGAAACCCCTTCAGCTGTTGCTCACTGGCTTGGCTGGACACACTGCAGGCAGCTGGCGTGGGCGTGCAGGACCTGGACAAAGCCCTGTGCACCTACCAGGATGAGAGCAGGAACTTCTCAGCCAAGATAACCAGCAGTCCTCAGTGGCTTTGTCCACGTCCCAGGGACACCAGCTCGCTGGCTCTGCTTGTGATTGTGATCAGTTTTTGCTTTCTCGGTCTCTGGGCTTGCTGCCTTCTGAAGAAAGGGCTGAAGTCGCCAGAGAGTGCAAGACCCCACAGCAACAGGGTGGGGGTCTTGCCCCAGTGTCCCAAAAGAGAGGAGCTAGCCGAGGCGAAGCCAGCAGAAAGCATCACCAGCGTGTAGCCCAGCCCTGGGGAAGAAGGAACTGTAGCGATCAGTCAGAACTATTATTATTATTATTATTA